AAACATTATCGCAACAAAGTTTATATGTAATTTATATATTTTTTGCTATAATTTTATATATAAACAATTTAGATGTGGCAAATCGGTTGACTGATATATAGCAAAAATTATAAATATGATAAAAAACTAGAAATATACAATCACACTTATAGCCAGTATATAAGATTTTTAAATCAAATAAATTACAATCAAATTTATATTAATTAAATATAAACAAAATAATAAAAAAGTAAGAATATATAATGAATCTAATAGTCAAAGTTAAGAAAAATTACAATTAAATAATTAATTATTAATTTTTAGTATTTAATATTGTATATGAAAAAGGATATCAAAAATGATATAATGGTTTGATCCTGCCTTTGATCTATCAAATAATAAATGTATTAGGAAAAAAATTGATATTGCTTATTAAAAAAGCACTACTAAACTTAAAAAATTACTTATTTATACTTGTAAAACAGTCTCTATAACTACTGATTTGTAAATATTTTATGCTAATATTAGATATATTGATATAACCCTTTACTGGTTAATATCTAGTTTTGAAGTATGTGATATACTTCTAGCTATTAAAAAAATTAAATACTCATATACAGATGAACAAATAAATGAATTTTTAAATTCAAAAAGTGAAGAATTTGGTTAACTAAAAAAATTGTTTATACTATAATTAATAATAATATCAATATAAAAAAAGCAATTAGACTCTGAAATAGCATAAAATACCTATCAAATACTATATATATATTTTAACTTTCTGTTGCTTAGATTTTGAAGTTTATAAGTCCATATACTAGATGAATCAAAAAAATTATTAAATTTTTTTAATCCTTTAAACAATATCAATATCTTGACAAAGTATAAATTAATTTGATAAACAATAATAATACTAGCACTATATATTCAGCGTACTTTAAAATAATATACGCACAATTAAATACTGTAAATCTTATAATTTCTTATTACAATTTAAAGTTAAAAATTAGAATAAGATTAGTAATTAGAATTTAAAAGTTGAGATTTAAATTAAAATTTTTTGAAATAAGTATTTTTGTTTAGAGTATCAAGTATTAATCATTTGAGATACGGCAAATATGGTACGTACGTACGTACATGAAAATAAGATAAGCCATAATATAGTAATATCAATCGTTGTAACTTTATGTAGCACAGCTTCATAATCACGACTTTTATCGCATAACGATAAAACTTTAACCATACATTAAATTTATGTTGTATTACCCAGAATTACGACGATTTTATCCCAATGAATTAATTGCAAAGAATTTATTACGAAAAGCCAACAGCTGGAGGATTAGGTTTTCAAGAAAATGCTGGTGCTGGGAACATTCCAAAAAATAAAAATAAATTTTTTTATTTGTTCGTGCACCAATTTTTATGAAATAAAGAAGGGGACCTATGGGCTCGCCATTTTTTATTTTTATACGATGTTTTACAATGTAATTTGCGATTATTAATTAGTAGAGACTATTAAGTTTATTAATCTATGCTATTACGGCTACTATTGGGATTCTAGTATAAGCCTTCCAACATTTAATAAGTTTTTTTCGCCATACCTAATTTTTTCTATTTACAATCACGCGTTAATATGCGCTAGTTGATTTTTTATAAGTTATACTACCGGTTTTTAAATCGTAGTAATAACCCGCATCTTCGTCATCAGAAAGCATTGTGTCTATATCATTTATTTCGTTCTCGTCATAAGAATAATCGGGTATACTTAGCTTCCTCAGGTAAAGATTCATCTTTCTTATTTATTATATCTTCTGATGAAACCTTTTTAGATAATGCACTTATCTCAGTTTCTGATGAATTGTTTGGTTCAGTCACAATTTGTAACGCCGATCACTTTATCAAGAAAAATTTTTAAAAATTCTCGATCATATACACATGACATCAATAATAATACATCAGAAAAAATTCCAAAAAATATATATGCAAAAATAAATTGATTACGTATGCGAAATTAGCCACTGGGACCAGCTTTATCGTTATAAAAAATAAAGTAAAAAATAAAAGTAAAAATAAAAGTAAAATATAGATATATTCAAGAAATGTGTACTTTTTTGTTTTGTTAACCCTCTGGTCTTACTATTTTGTCTACGTCTTTTTTGTCCTGATTCCTCCCTACGTGGTGAAGAGACAGCGGGACTTGGGTGAACATTACGAGGCAGGTGTGAAATAGCCTGCTTTAACGCTTGAATGAGCAGACTTCTGTTCACTATTATAATATTTCTTTAAGTTAACAGTAATCGCATTAGGGGCTTCACCCGCCATGATACGTCAGAAGTTAGTGGAATTTTTGCATGATCTACATGAAAATATCTTGGGATTCCACTCGCGTCATTTATCAGGACATTTAAAGATATCTTTTTACCGGCCACCTGGACTCCAACCACACCAAACTGGTTGCTGGTAGGTCTACATGCGCTATTTATATAACTTATCCCGTCTAACAATTCTCTTCATAACTTTGTCTCATCATCGTTCTTTTTAGTATCATTGCAAATGATACGTGAACTCTCTAAATATAGATATTCCACCAGCTTTCCTTAACACTTTTCTAATGCCATAATATCAGGTTTTTTGCCTATTCTTCTTTTACTTGCTTTATCATTTATACGTAACTTACTTGCTAAGCTCTGACGCTCAGCAGTACTTAAACAAATATGTCCATTTGGCAAATTGCTTAAGGTGGCTCGAAGCAAAGGCATAATGACATCTGATATATAGGTCCCTTCACTCTGTTCATTTCGGGGCATACTGGTTTCAAAAGCAGGATTATTCCATATCTCCTCTCTAAATTTATAGATATAAGTATGGGTTAATATTCAATCTAACAATTACATACGATTATAAAAAATGACAATTATTTACAATGTGCTAAGTATTAGTTTTGCTACTTCTTCCAACTTAATCACATTCTCCTTTCATGTCTTACTATGGATAAGATTATTCAGAATATCTGTTTCTGTCTTATTAAAACTATTCACGAACTCATCACACTTAGAATTAGTGATCCGACCCGTCTAAAAAATCTCCACCCAGGTCACCTGGTGGGTGGGCAATAAGTCACCCGGGTAAAAATCGGGTGGGTCACCCAGCAGTTCACCTAATGGGTTACCTAACAGGTCACCTGTGGGTCATCTTATGGGTCACCCACGGATAACCTGACAGGCCACCCAGATTATTTAACCCACATATGCATTAAAAAAAAAACTTCTCTTTGATCTTTCGAACTCAAAGTATTGCAACTAAAATATATCCGTTAACCATTTAATAATTAAATTATAAAGTTATAATATGGGGTCTTTCACATTAAAAGGGCCCATTTTGCAAATTTTTTAAAAAATGAGTTTTTATTAGATTCATGTAAATTTTAACATGACTGACATTTTTCAAT